ATCCCGGCTACAATGGGGCGGGCGACGGGATCCTCCGCTTCCCAGGGTAGTAATATTGCCAGTTGTTCTAGCACCTCCTTGGGAAACACGTCGGGCCTGTAGGAATGGTAGTTGTTCCTGCTAGGGTCGAGATGGTGGACACACCCTCACCATGTCGAGAGATGGCCCAAGCTACTGACTCCGTTGTCGTCCCGCAGACACATTCAGACCCATCGATCCTCTGTTCGATGAATGTGTTTGAGTCCTTAGAGGAGATAGAGGAGTGGTCTAGATTAGACCCACTAGCTTCTTGGATGACCTTTGTTAAAGCCGCTAATGGTGAGTTGTTCGTCCGCAAGGTAGTCATCGGCGGCCGCAAGGCCTGGGCCTATTATGACACTTGCTCGACCCGGATCGACCTGTGGAGTCGAATGGTGCCAACAAACAACGCATGGTAGTCAACGACTACCTTAAAGACATAGAGTGTTTATTCCCGTACACGAGAGGGGAACTGAGACACCGAGTCTCGTTTTTTATCAGCGACGATCTCCCAATGGACATCCTGTTGGGTATGTACTATCTTTCGGTTGCACAGCCCCGGTTTGGCTGGGACCGAAAAGTGGTCAAATACATTTTGCCCGGAGGGGGGACCGCCATATTATGTAAGTTTAAGGCTAGTAGTCTGATCGAGTCCTACGGATGCATGTGTGGGGCCGAGTTCTATAATTATTATAAGAAAAATCCGGAGGAGGGTATGTACTTAGTTTATGTCTCTGCATCAGGCGAGCATGTGAAAATGTCGCCAGAGATAGAGGGAGTAGTCGCTAAATACCGTGATCTATTTGAAAAGTTAAAAGGGGTTGTTGAGAGGGAGGTCGTCCACGCGATAGAGATTATCCCAGGGTCTAGTATTCTGAAGGGTAGGATCTATCGGATGTCTCCAGTAGAGCTCGATGAGCTTCGCCAACAACTCAAGGAACTCATAGAGAAGCGTTGGATCCGGCCTAGTGTCTCTCGTTATGGATCTCCTGTCTTATTTGTACCGAAGAAGGGGGGAACTTTGAGGATGTGCATTGACTATAGGGGCCTCAATGCCATCACTGTTAAGAATAGGGAGCCCCTACCGCCCATCGATGACTTGTTGGACCGAGTGCAAGGGTGTCGGTAGTAAGATAGATCTGAAGTTTGGGTAACATCAGATTGTAATACGGCCTGAGGATCAACACAAAACCGCTTTTCAGACCAGGTACGGTCTGTACAAGTTTGTGGTGATGTCTTTCGGCCTTTGCAATGCTCCTGGCACCTTTCAGCACGCCATGAATCGGATCTTTCATGACTACTTGGACAAGTTTGTCATCGTGTACCTCGATGACATACTTATCTTTTGTAGGACTGTCGAGGAGCATGTTGGTCACTTAGACAAAGTCCTTAGCCTCCTTCGACAACACCAGTTCAAGATCAACGGGGAGAAATGCGAGTTTGGCCGCGCCCGAATCTTGTATCTGGGTCATGAGATTTCCGCGGAGGGATTGAAGCCCGATGACGCGAAGGTGACCAACATTCGTGACTGGCTGCGTCCTCAGTCTGTGACTGAGATGAGGTCCTTCTTAGGGATGACCAGCTACTACCTCAATTTTGTCAAGAACTATAGCATAGTGGCCGCCCCTTTGACGAACCTGACCCGCCTTGACACCCCATGGGAGGCTGCCTTCATGCATCTGAAGCATGCTTTGACACACCATGAGGTCCTGAAACTTCCTGATCCTGACAAGCTATTTATAGTAACCACGGATGCTAGCCAATATGGCATAGGCGCTGTGCTCGTGCAGCAGGAGGGGGCAAAGTTGAGGCTTGTTGAGTACATGTCCAAAAAGATGCCCTCTCAGAAGTTGGCTAAGTCCACCTATGAGAAGGAGCTCTATGCGATCTACAAAGCGCTAACCCACTGGAGGCACTACCTCCTTGGGAGGTTCTTCTACGCCAGGACTGATCATCAAACCCTGAAGTGGATGAGAACCTAGCTAGTGCTCTCTGATGCGTTTAAAAGATGGATCGAAGTCATTGAGCAATATGACTTCGAACCTCAGTACATCAACGGAGAGTACAACAGAGTCGTTGATGCACTGTCACGTAGGTCAAACTTCCTCGGTGCGCTGATCACTGAGTTCGGGCTTGCGGACGATGTTACTCGTTCTTTGGTGGAAGCCTATCACGAGGATCCATTTATGGCTGAGATCATACACAGACTCGAGGCGAAGGACAAAGTGACTTCTGCCGAGTTCGAGTTGGTCAACGGCCTGCTGTTCCTTGAGAAGGCCGGGAATAAACGCTTGTGTGTGCCTAATCGGGAGTCTTTGCGTAGTTTATTTTTAGGTGAGTGTCATAACGCCACTAGACACTTTGGGTATAGGAAGACTGCAGCGAACTTGTTGCAGCGGTTCTGGTAGCCCACAATGATGAAAGATGCGAAGCTGTACGTGGAGACTTGTCAAGTGTGCCAGAGAGACAAGGCACGTACACAGGCCCCTCTTAGGCTTCTCAAGCCCCGCCGATTCCGGAAAGGCCCAGTGAGAGCCTGTTTATGGATTTCATGGACACGCTCGTCACCAGCAAGAGCGGAATGCAACATGTCTCTGTCATTGTGGATAGGTTTAGTAAGTATGCTAGGTTAGTCGCAATGCCTGCTACAGCTAAGACCGAGTATGTGATCAAGCTGATTAAAGAGAACTGGGTCAAAAACTTTGGGCTTCCAAAGTCGACTTCTGGGAACCACCCAGAGGCAAACTTGCAAGCTGAGCAGCTAAACCTCCCTGTACAACACCTGTTGAGGCATTATATCAAGCCTAACCAGATGGACTGGAATGAGAAACTGGCTCACATCGCCAGTCTGTATAACAACGCCATGCACAGCACAACAGGGGTGAGTCCTAACAGCTTGCTACTGACTTTCAAGCCTAGACTGCCTCTTGACTTCCTACTACCTGAAAACCAGCCTACTGCTGCACCAGGCACTTTAGAATTCGCTTATCGATATAAGTGCCTGATGCAGCAAGCTATAGAAGAAGTGCACAAGGCATAGGCGGTGATGATAGAGTCTGAAAACAAACACCGCCGCCCATCTACATTTCAGGTAGGGGACAGAGTCTGGGTCAAGTCCTCAGAACGGGGACAGAAGCACGGGATCTCCCGCAAGCTCATGCCACAGTACTTTGGACCATGGGAGGTTCTTGATGTTGTCGGGGGTGATCCGGATGGGTCGTCATATGTAATCCGGATCCCTGGTCACCTTCGTACTTACCCCGTCTTCCACGCCTCCAAACTTGCACCTTTCGCAGAAACTGATCAGTTCCCCTCTCCTCACTCAATGCTGCCCCCAACCATGGATGGAGAGGTCGACATCCACGACATCGTGGACCACAAGGAAATGCCAGTTCCAAGACCAACCAGCAGGGGACGTCCTAAGCCGAAGCTGCAATATCACGTTCGGTTCAGACATGCAACTGATCCTAAGGAGGACAGATGATTTACCCGGGAGGAACTAATGCAGACCGCTCCACAGGCTGTCGCTCACTACGAGAAGTTACTGCAGAAGGGAAAGCGCCAGTTTGAGTAATGAAACTTCTCAGAGGACTGTCAACGTAAGGACGAGGGCATGCGAGGCATAAGGCCCCGACGAGCCCCTTTTTGGCCCTGTAAGCAGCACTGTCGGCCGCCCTACGTGAAGGCGGGCTTGACCAAGGCCAAGAGGCCTATTTTTCGGCCACCACGCAACTGGGGAAATTCAGGCAGTTGCGCAGCGTCAGTTAGTTGAGAGCGCCCAGGCCGTGGCTGCCTTTTTCGTACGTAACTGAGGCACGCCCCGGGCCAGATACACCATATGGGCCAAACACAGGCTGCGGGCAGTTGGGCACAGGCAACCGTCACAGGCCCTGGGCCTGATTCGCTTAGACTGGGGCTCAGCCTCTCGGGGCTTACCAGAAGCTTCTGGGCAGGGGCCCAGCGCAGCCAGGCCACACGCAGCAGGCAGGCCACTTCCATTTAGGAAAGTGCCTGTCCTCGCATTTAGCATTCGGGCACTGGCTGCATGCTGCGCTAATCGCTGGCCAGGCCCACGCGCTCACGGGCGAGCAGGGAGAGCAGGCAGCCATAGCCGAGCTGCGCTGCGCTGTGCTGGATGGGGCGCATGGTGGTCCTTGGGTGCATGTGGCATCTGTGAGTGGGGGATTGAGGTTGTGAGTGATGCGAGAGACATACCTGGTGCTTGAGGCGAACGGCATTGGCCGAGATCTGCTCGTACTTCGGGGAGCTGTTGACGTCACCAGCGGCATTGTAGATAGGCTAGATAGGATCTGCCATTTGTAGTCTGGGCGCAGAGCGCCAGATAGGATGTTGACATTGTTCTTTGTTAATGATTATGAGACTATTCCAACATTGTCACTTGAGAGCTTTTGCTGTGTTCTTATGAGGTGGAACTCGTGTTGCAATTCTGCTTTTGGTTCGAGGTCAGGACTATCTAGTTTCATGTGTATGATGCTGCTTGGTTTCTGGAGTTCGCTATCGCTCATTTTCCTTGCACATTCCTTTTAAAAATGAAAAAAAAAAAAAAAAAAAAAAAAACTGTAAAAAAAGAAATTGCACTACACTCATGCACGGACCTGTGATCATCTCAGAAATGCACATGAGAAGCAAGTGCCAGTAGGCCACTGGAAACAGTGATTACAGAAGGTCATTTGTGGTTTTCTGAGGGTGGACATAAACTCTTAGACTTTCAACCTACAGATTGCTCCTACAATAATTACAAACATTTCCGCGAAAGGGTCCCAGTGTATGTGATGAGATGGTTCGTAAGGTTTCAACTTGCACTACTATCAGCCCAAATTCTGTATTCCTGTTTTTTCGTATTGACTTCCTGCCTGCAATGGTAACTTATCTTCGATGTCAGTAAGGACAAGAAGAACAGAGTTATTTACTCTTCTGAAAGTTGCATCCATTCTTCGTTGACTATCAGAGGATTGTGTTACCTTGCTGTGTCAGTTGTCGGAACAAGAATCTCGTGAAAAGCGGCCTCTGTGTTTGGCGATGCATTGTTAAGTATCCTGAACCAAGGTCTCCAATCAATCGCTTCCTTATCAAAAAAGTAGTCATAGACAGAACCATCCTCTGGAAATGGCAATGTGAATTTCCAATTGGGCACTTGTAAGTCAATGCCAGGGCCCAGGTTGAAACCAAGGTTTTCCTCATGGGCAAGGAGGCTGCGAAAGAACTGGTCAAACAGAAGTCTCCCTTCGAGGTCTATTGTTCCCCCAATCGTCCACACAAGTGCGAAGGCAAACATGCACTGGATGTAGGCATCCAACTCCTTGCCTGTTGGTATGGAAAATGATTGTTGGCCATTAGAAGTGGCCTGCTTCTGAGGTTTGCCTGTACCAATCACTGGGGGGGAAGAGTTCCTCTGAGTAGTGCTCGTTTCCTGGTGAAGTTGATCACCTTCTGCTCTTCCCCCATGGCTTCCTCTGGCTCCACCATTGCCTACCATAGTCGGCATTGCAGCGGCCGCTGCCATATCCACCAGCTTGAAGTCATCTAGCAAGCTCTCATACACATTCATTAAGCTCTGCGGTAGGTTAATATCAGATGTGGGGATGGTCTCCTTGCACTCACGGCGTATAAACCTCATGCACGGATCAATCATCCAGGTGAACATGGACTCAATCATTGACATCGCTGGCCCATTCCCATGCAAGGATCCAGGTAGAGTTTCCACCCATGACGTTTTCAAAGGTAGCCATCCAATCATGGAAGGCTCCACGTGTACCATGCCACAGCGACTAACTGTAGCTGGTGATGCGGCTGCTAGATCTTGAACCTCAAACATCATATTCATTGTTTCAGACATCTGAATGATCTCACCGCTCATCAAGCACAGCTTCTTGTTGTCGTCAAGTAAAGTATTCATGCTCTCGATCCATACCTGCTCAAAGACCGTATTCCGAACAATTGCGAAGTGAGTCCATGCATGATTCCACAGTGAGTCCATGCATGGTTTGTAGCTTCTGATCTCCTCCCCTTTCTTTTGGGGAGTGATCATCCTTTCGTGGCTTTAATACTGGGGTGGTAAGACTATCCCCGAGATGCAAGCATTGCTGTCATACATGGCTCCAATCTATTGGTAGGGAGCTGGATATGCTGGGAATGAAACAGATCACCCACAGTTAACAGGTAGAGTGAGTTCATCATCCCTCTGGAGACACAGACTGGACGTGTAACAGCTTAGCCCTGAGATTGTCCTCACCCTGGCCTACTTCTGTCATTTTTCTTGTCCCACCCGTGAAACTCATTCCTGTCCTTCATCCTCAGGATCCAGACAATGTAACCACTGAGTGAAGAAGACCAGATAAGCTCCTGCTAATCCATTAGCGGGATGAAGGAAAGGAAATCCGGTGATGATGAGAGGATGCAAGGGAAGTGTCGTCCATGGGGTGGTGTCAATGAGGGCCTGAGATTGTATAATACAGAAATGCATTGGCTAAAATATGCAATGTCCCTCCATTAGTCTCCAGGTTTTTCGTATGAGGTTCTTATTCCCATCCAGTGCACCTTAATCCTGAAGAGGGATGAAGAGGTAGATTCCGGGAGTGGGGAATGGGACGCTGGACCCATTTTCCAGCAGGGGGGGTTTCATCAGCTCACTGTTTTCTCAGCCAAAGCCGGGTGATGGCCCCAGTGCCTGCTTCTTTTCCTAAATGCTATCAATAGGGACGCTGGGCCCAGTTCCCACCACCTGCTGCTCCCCACAAATAGATTGGAGCCTTGTGCCTCAAAAAAAAAAAAAAAAAAAGAGTGTCTGGATGGCATCTGCAGTGACCCGCTTCATATGCCTCGTGGAATGACTAAGGGCCTGGCCCGGCCTCAGGCCGACGGGGCAAAAGACCCCCAGAAGTGGTGCCAGGGCCTGAGCCCCGACAGTTGACTTCAGTCAACTTCCTGAGTCCCAACAGTCAAAGTCAATATGGACTCATCCAAGGCCGCCGGTCAGACACACACACTTGTTTGTATGCAGGTACCAAGACAGCATTAGGACCAGGTGGACGTCTGCAACTGTAAGCGATCCAGGCCCTCGGCTGTGAGTCAATCTGGGCCACCGTGGGTGGGAGACCTGAGGCAGGTCAACTCGGTCAATCACTAGATAAGACCCTGCCTCCATGGAGTCAACGTTCGGTTTTGCTATGCTGACTTAACGCTGACTCAATGCTGGCTTGACGCTAGCTGGACGCTGGCTTGATGATGGCTTGACGCTGGCTGAGCGCTGGCATTGTGGACGTCGATGCGGGACTGAGGCAGCATGCTGGCGCCTTCTCTGCTGAGCGCCAGCCTCTGCTGATGTGGCCCATGCCACTTGTCTTCATTGCTGATGTGGCGCATGCCCCTTGTCTTCATTGCTGGCGTGGCGCATGCCACCTTTCTTCATCGCTGATGTGGCATTGGCCACGCTGTCTACATTGGGTGACTGGACAGGACAAGGAGGGAGATCGGGATCTGTGGATGATTGAGGAGGATCGGGATACTTACCTGAGGTTGATGTCGATACTGTGCGCTGTTGATTGTCTCCAATATCTTCACGAGAGAATTGTGCCACGTGGCATTTCAATGTGTCAGAAACTGTCAAACTTGTTACTGGATACTGTTTGTTGACGTGGAGGCGAGGGGAAGCCTGGAGAAGGAGTGAGAAATTTTGGGCTACTCTCTTGGTGGTCATTGATGGTTATTATCTCTTCCACCCTCTAATCTGTCTATTCTTCCTCCACTCTCTTCGTCTACTGGTAAATGACATTGTATCAGAAATCACATTCATGATTATTGGAGGTATTGTTCATATCTGAGTTATCTTGTATTTCGACATCTGGCGAGTATCTTACAGACTCGGTTCATTACAATTTGGTATCGGAGCATACCTTCTTCGTAGCAATCTGCTATCAGGTGCCACGTGGGCCGCAGGTAAGTGGGAGGTGCCGCACGTGTATGGGACGGAACGCGTTTATAAACGCTCTCGATTAACATTGCGTGTCTAGACATTGAGCACCACACGTGCATGCAGCCCCCTATAAGATGATGACGTGGACACTTTGAAGAGGAAGACGGCGACATTGCTTACGTGGCGCTTTCTTGCTTATGTGGCATTGATATACCGGTGAAAATATCATTGGCAGCAGGCTGACGTGGCGCTGGTAGACGAGAACGACCGAGAGAGAGTGGATATTGGGAATGCTGACGTGGTGCGCTGCCTACGTGACATGGCGTAGGGGTGCTGACATGGCATCCTACTATTGGCAGGGCATTGTCTGATGTGGCACATACCTGTGTTGCGACTACCTGTTGACTTGGCGCTCCACACTTCAGCGGCATTACTTCTATCTGACATGGCATACAGGTGGTGGATGAGTTGGAAGTCCAGGCATTGCTGACATGGCATCCCTCCTGAAGGTCGTGCTGGCTTTTGACGTTGACGTGGCACATGTGCTATGTTAGTATTCTAGGGGTGACATGTAGCATGTTTTGCACGCTGTTGTGGGTGAGGTGTTGATACTTGCACTTGTGTGCTGGCAGGCGGTACAGCTTCACGATTGCTGTAGTGCCACGTGTCGGTCCTTGCGTCTGACTGCATTGGCTCTACATATGGTACAACCATAGAGGAAAGGATGCTGACAATTGATTGTTGTCGATTGTGTTGGCGGACTTACTCACTTGTCTGCCTGTTCTGTGGTTGTTGTGCATACTCACCTGTGTTTTTGTGTCTTGATCACACTGGTTGTGGTTGTGGTACCTGTGAGCTCTCCTGAGGACGTCATCACACATAGGACAGAGCAGAAGTTAGAAATAGACGAAAATTAAAATTTGTTTCTTCTTCTTTATCATTGTTATTTCTTGCTAAAGGAGATTTTGAGTGTGGTTGTGGAATTTATTTTCGTCTTCTAATTATTTATTGTGCGGCATTCTCAAGTTGGGAAACATGATCTATCTCTGGAAATGTCTGCATGCCTCCATTCTCACAAGATACATTCCTCTCTTCTTTTTCTCTACCCCTCTCATTGTCTATGTTGATGCGGAAGGGGGAGAATTAAGAACCCGTTGTCAGATAGAAGCGAGAACGCAAGCATCGATAGGTCTTCTTCGTCATTTGCTCGGCGAGAGACATGGAGTCGGATAAGAAGTTGAACGGCATGTTCACAAACAGTTCAATCTGCTTACTAGCAAGACGTGGGAAAAAAGTATTACAAATTGGTTGTGACCCAAAACATGATAGTACTTTTACCTTGACAGGATTTTTTATACCAACAATTATAGATACTCGACAATCTAAAGATTGTCACTATGAAGATGTATGGCCAGAAGATGTTATATACAAAGGCTATGGAGAAGTAAATTGTGTTGAAGCTTGAGGGCCCCCAGTTGGCGCTGGATGCGGAGGATATGTAGTAGGAGAGACAGTCAAGTTACTAAAAGAACTACATGTTTTTTATGAATACGATGTAATATTATTTGATGTATTAGGTGATGTAGTATGCGGAGGATTTTCAGCACCACTTAATTACGCAAATTATTGCGTAATAATGCAATGAACCCAGACAAGATAACACACATTGGACATGCAGATACTGTTCACAGCAACGCACGAGCATCAGCGCTCGTGCGGTACAAGTCCCGTGGCTCAATGACAAAGCAACTCGAGAAATCCAATCTTGTTGATGAATAATGTCGAACAGATCTGTTCCCGTAACCGAGTATATACATACATAGACAAGAAAGAGAGAGGGGGGGAGTTAGAAGAAGAAGAAGAAGAAGCCCACTTCTTCTTCAGGCCAAACAG